TATATATATAAAGCTAAAGTGTGTTTACTCCATTAGATATGGGTCAGGCAGGATAAGAAGAGCTCTGAAATGAAAAAAAAAGAGGAACATTTTGTTTTAAGCACTTCTTTAAATTGCAAGCTTAGTAGGTGGGGCATCAGTGAATGAATGTTGTAATTTAAAAGCTTTGAGGTAATCCTCATAAGAAGAATTTTCTTGAGCTTGTGTGTGGTTATTTAAAGCCACTCACTCCATGACAGCTTAAAGGACTAAAATGTGACCATGTGTCATTCTTTCCAAAGCCACTCTTAATCCCTTTTCAATGGAGTTTACTGTCAGGAATCATCTAGAAATGATGTGGATGGAGTTACTTTACTCAGACACTAGATGGCAAAATGATACCACAATGCAGCAAAAGTCTTTCTGGTTCCTTTTTTCAAGAWGACTGGGTACAAATTAGAGCAAAATTTGTATAGAAAGAAGCATTTTTTATGTTGTTATATTGACATTTTTTAATATAATCACAGTTTTGTGCTTTAGAAAATAAAGCAATAATTAAATACYTTGTTTTGCCTGTCTCAGAGAAGCATCTCAGAGAACTCACTGGTGGCMATGGACTTTTCTGGCCAGAAGACTCGAGTAATTGAGAACCCATCTGAGGCACTTTCTGTGGCTGTGGAGGAAGGCCTGTCATGGAGGGTAAGTCAATATTTGCTTTAAATAATTCTACTGCTTTTTCTTTTTTTTTCCTGCAATTTAACAAGACAAGATGACACATTTTAAAGTAATGCTGTGTTTTGCTAAAAAAAATAATTTGATGAGGACGTGAAATGTATTACTTGTCATCAGTTTGCATTGAGAAACACTTACGCTGCAAGTTAGCGCTTCTTTTTATTTCCTGTTATATTGTTATCATAACTCATATCTCCCTCAGAGGAAAAGCTGCCACCGTCTGAGTGGCCATGGAAGCCCCTCTGCCGCTCAGAGCTCAGCGTCAAACCTAGGTTTGTGAACTTCCTCTTTTAATATCTAACATAGAACCAAAACTAAACTAACTAAACTACCATCTCTTTGCATCAGCAATCCACCTGGCCCAGCCGTGGTTTCACGGCAAGCTGTCTCGGGAGGAGGCTCAGCGTCTAATTACTCAGCAGGGTCTAGTTGATGGGTGTGTTTCTCTTCATTTTGCACATTTTCATTTTTTTAAACATATGCTTTTTCAGTTTTAACCATTTAAAAAAAGCAAAAATGACTTTTCTTTTATGCAATTAAATTTCAAAAGTTCACAATACATTGTTCACATTAAAAGACAAACCACTAAAAATTACAAAATACAGTTTAAACGTAACAGAAATCACTTTGTAGAATAGCAATCGTCATATAACTAGTTTTTAGATACATTTCTACACCAAGCAGTTAAATTGTTTTCACTTTTCTGTTTTAGGGTGTTTCTGCTGAGGGACAGCCAAAGCAGCCCAAAGACATTTGTTCTGTCACTTTGCCACATGCAGAAAATCAAACATTTTCAGATCTTACCAGTGAGTACGACTGATACTTATATACCTCTGAAAAACAAGGCAGATGATGCTTGCTTATCTTTGTTTGTTTGTTTGTTTGTTTGTTAGCAAAATGGATGGATTTAAATGAAATTTTCAGAAAATAATATTTGGCGTTCATCTATAACTGATTTGAAATTTGATTTGGTAGTAGCTGAGAGTCCTCAGTATACACTCTGAGCATCGAATAAGATCTTTGTTTAAAATTTTGCCAATTTAATTATATGCCAGGGCTATTCACCTGGTGGCTCGTGGATGATTTCCTTCCGACCAGCCAATGAGCCTCACCCAGACGAAAAAAAAGAAAAAAACTTGAACATTTTATTGAACATAAAAATAGATTTCAATAATTTCTAAGTGTAGAATTTATGATTGAGTGCAACAAAATAAACACATTTAAAAGGTAAAAGATAATAATATTTGAGGCTTTGAGTAACCATGGCCCCTGGAGCGATTTAATTGAACAGCCYATGCATTCCTTCAATGAATGCAGCACATGTTTTATAATCAAACTTATAATCTAAACATATTCACAATACATTAAAAATAAAATAAATAWATCCTCCCAACCTTTGTTTGATGCAGGTACTGTATGTAGCTCATTTTCAACTTTAGAAAACTTTCTATAGAATGAACTTGCATTCAAGTTTTGTCTGTATCTTCTGCCTTTCTCACAAAATCCCAGAATGACTCTGGCATAAAGATAATCTGTGCAGGACTCTTTGTTCTTTTTGTGCTATATGATTTTGCCTGTGTTTGAAGTCATCGATATGTACTGTAGGATAAATCTGGGATGGATTAGATCAGATCCCCTGATGGAACTTTTAGAAAGATTCAAGCATCTGAAGGTACTTCTGAAGTCAGAAGTTTCAGGATTTTGTTTTTTCACCCCTCATGAAAAAAAAAAATACATATTGCTCTTGTAAGCATTTTAATTTATACTGATCTGCTCAAACAGGTGATGCGTTTGTTTCATTGTAGGTGGATGATGAAGGGGAAGTGTTCCACAGTTTAGACGACGGCCAAACACGATTTACTGACTTGATCCAGTTGGTGGAGTTTTACCAGCTAAACCGTGGGGTCCTCCCCTGCAAGCTCAAGCATCACTGTGCATGAACTCTCTTCACCACTTCACAAACTCCAGCGAGGCACCATGAGCGCCTTAACTAAAGATTCTGGACAAAAACTCCCAGCGGTCTTGTGCCTTAGAAAAGAACAATGTAAAGAAAGTGGATTTCATATTGTGGGACACCGTGCATCCTTATTTTATTATGACTTTTTTTTATTAAAATAACATTTTTTTTCTTTTTAGAAAAACATATTTTTAAAGCAGACTGTGTTATAAATAACTGCTGGTGCTTTCCATAACATCCAATATTATTTTTGGTTAATAATATGTTCGTATGAGGTGGGAAATTAGTTTTGCAAAGTTCAAGCATGACTTCCTGCACTGTATGTCCTAAAGATAAACATGTACTGACAAAAGTGAATGTTCACATGAGAGAAAAAATACACAAAGTAGTTAAATTTAAAGAGTAATAAAATACAGATAAATTKACATTTTTAAAGTGAGGTTTTCAGCAATTTGTGTGAAAACTTTACATTTGTTAAGAACTTCATTACACCAAGTCACCTTTACTTTAGACGGWTACTGTACTGTACATAATGTGCTAAACATAACAAGTCTACACAAGTGATGCTGTGTGAAAATTCATCACAGCTGCTTGAAGGTCTAYAAAAATTGAGGTTTACCTGGTTTTAGATAGTTAAAATCTGTGTTGAAATCAGCCCCAGCCTAACTTAGCTGGAGAATTTTTCTCAGATTCCTCAAACAGATTGCTCTTACTGATGTTTGGTGTAAGGTAAGATATTGACTACTCACATGTATCTAGCACAGCCCCATGTAAAAAAATATATATATAAATAAAAAATATAGATGAGGCTTTTCAAAACAAAGTGGTAGTAGTCAGCAACACATCTAACATGTTCATTTTTTTAAATATAATTTTTATCTGTCATCGTATTTTTATGGTTCATTTTTTTGCAAGAAAACTGCTATTTTTCTATCTGAGAGAAAATGACCTTAACGGAAGTGTCATTGATGTTTCAGGAACYGTTCTGCGGCTGAACTGAAACAACAAAGGAAGGAAAAAAATATTTAAAAAAACACAGAAAATATGGCTCACAACCTCATTCCCTTGTGCAAGGCACTGACATTCATTTGAATGAATAAAATTGGTGTATTCACAGAGGTACTTGTACAGTTTCTCGAGGACAAGAGTAACACAATGTTTTTTTCTTCACAATTTGTGGATGTAAAAAATAAAATAAAATGCAAAAAATGTGCAGTCTTTTGATTACATAAAAATCTTTTAATTTTTAACAAATTTTAAAACTACAAAAAAAATGTTCAGACAGGTATCGTCTGTCAAAGTGTTTGAGGTAAAATATGGTTAAAATAGTTAAAAAGCAGTAAAAAAATGTAATGGCTACTATGAACTGTCTTCCTTTCTTTAAATAGCATTTATTTTCATGTTAAAAATATAAAACAGGACTGCCTTTTCATTTATATTATTGGTTTTTTATTTTTAGCTTCATATGGTAAATGACAGCATCCTGCAAAAATGTCCATTAAAATGTTTTTGTAATCTTTGGAGACCCAATGCATTATCTACAATAAATCAACTTTTTTTACATTACTGTGTAAACAGATAAAAAAATGGTAGTTAAGCACATTTGGATCAGAAATATTGATGCTTATCGTTGTAGCTTTTTAATTGCTTTTCTTTATAAATTTGGTAGAATATAATCTTGTCAAAGCATTACCCCAAAATAATGACTTTCTTGTGCATTAGTTTTTTCAAGTTGCAACAACATTTCAAAAATGCTGAACACAYAATTACAAACTCTGTAATGTGTGAATTTGTGACCTTACTATTAGCTTTGCTTTGTTAAAAACTGACACAAATTTCAGTCTTAGACGCGATAGCTAATAAAGTGGTTAGCACTTTGGTAGTTAGTCATTTATGATATTTATTATTAAATTATTGCTTCATTTTAACTGTCTTATTACAGAATTACCTGTATGTCCTGATGCATCTCAGTAATCCAGGTAAAAAAATCAAAAAAGAAAAAAAATTGTATAGGTCT